GAACTTAATAAAATAGTTTACTTATTTATTTAGTTTACTTATTTATTAACTATATTAAGTTCATTATAAATAAAATATAAAACTTTTTATTTTACTTTTAGAATTTTTGAAGCTTTTATTATAAGATTATATTATATAGTTTCTTTATATAAAATAAAATATAAGTATATATTTATCTTATATACGTTAAATAGAATTAGTTATTTATAGTAGAAAGTAGGCTTTATCTTTTGAAAGAACGTATTTTAGTAGGAAATTAGATAATATAACTAACCTTTTATAGGGTACTATACCTAAGTAAAGCAATAGGTGTAGATATATATATATATATATAGCTGTCTACTACTTTCTCTAGGTGATGTGAATTCGATTTAGTTCACGCCTCTCCGGAGTACATTCAAGGAGCGTTAGGATATGCGTACTCTGCGCAGAGTTACGAGACACGCGAGAAGCCGGCGCCCTTGAAAAGAAAGTAGACGATCTGAGCGAAGATCGATTATCAGCTGACCTAGGTATCTTGCGTTCTTTTAAGCTGTCGAGGATAGAGAGCAAACCCCCGGGAGACCAGTGAAATATGATCCAGTTTACTCGGCCAGCGCATTTGGAGACTGCACCAAGGTAGCTGCACCTGTCTGCATATGCAGTGCCTCCAGCCCCCTCACGGCCCGCAATCCTACCCGGCCCAGGGCAGGCCAGTGTGTCAATGAGTGGGCTGTATTGCCTCAGCGCGGCCGCCCTATGCGGGATTCAAGTTTGACAGACCGTCCTGGCGGCTCTGAGATAATGTAAAGTGTAATTTTCTTTCGATCGCGCGCATAGAGGGACATGTGTAGCCACGTAGTCCGTCAATCATCTTTAATGTAACCATCAGTGTGTCAAATTGTAACTGACAGTAAACGCCCACCACAGCCCCGTTTTTGTGATTCAACGCTAATCAGCCTTGTCCCGAGTTCCGCCATCAAACTGCTCTCGAGCGCCACAAACGAAAGGCGAATAATAAGGCTTCGACCCCCCTGTCATGAACTAAAGCATTACGTGCTAGAGCGTAACTATAAAATACGATAGACTAAGGAAGAACCTCTCACCTTGGTGAGAGGTTCTTCAGCGCCTTCTTTGCCATCCAGCCCTTCATCTTGTTCATGTCCTCGACTTTTCTAGACCAGCCAAGGCAGCCAACGGCGGCATTTGGGGGATTTTCGAGCTTATCGGAGATTGGCAGATCCTGCTGACAGTCATGGAGCCCCATCATCCTCCGGTACAAGAGTCTCTCAGAGTCTCTTGTGATCGTTGCCGGGCGAAAAAGTTGGCCTGCGTCATCTCCACACCGGAAGAGTCGCGGAGTGCCGGACAGCAATGTGACCGATGCATTCGGGCGAGATTAGAATGCGTCTTTAGTCGGCGCGCGCAGACACGCAAGGGCAACAACGGCACCCGGCGCACAAACAAAGAACGTACCAGGAGCAACACAACGTCGCAGAGGTTTGAGATGCAGTGTGACCCGCAGCAACCGACGGAGACCGGATGTGCTTTGGTATCATCCGGACTACTCCCTGGCTCTTCCATGGATCTCACAACTCTCGACCCCTCTTGGGAACTCATGCATGGCGATGGTTTACCTGCAATGGACGACCACGTGCTGCATACTTATATCAGCTCTCTCTCTAAGGATGAGGAGATTTTCCGTCAGCCGCATCCGCTCGAGAATCACTTCGACATGTCTTCCTTGCCTCTAACAGCCGAAAGCAGCTGCAGAACACCACTTTGGGGTCATGCATCCTCTGGGTTTGGAGACTCCTCCCCCGATAAGCGGAGTAGCCCTTCTCAGTTCATGAGTGTCTCTGTGCTCGTGACTGAGATTCATGAGCAAACCATTATACTTAAAGGCGACCCTCGCATTCCGAGCCTCAGTGGTGTCGAAGAAAGCCCCCATAAGTACTCCGTTGGTCCAGTCTTGAGGCTGACGCGAAGACTTGCCGCTGAACTGCGACACTTGTGGCGGCCAAAGTTGTCGACCCAAGACATACAACAACAACCTCGTCCCGCCTCTTCTCTCTCTGCTCCCACATATCCCGTGTGTCCAGGCAGCACAGATATCTTGAGCGTACCTCGAGATCAACAAACACCATCTGAACTTGATTCTAGGTCAAGTTTCACAGAGACGCCGGATTTGGCAACCAATCTCTTAATGTTGACCGGTTACGCGTCTCTCGCGAAACTATACCTGACCGTACTCAACCAGATCCACAATGTCCTCCAACAAACACCACAATTTGCTTCTTCCTCTCGTCATGCACAGTCTCACGAACCCGGAGAAGCAGAGATACTACAGTCTGGGGAACTCTCAGCAGCTATTGGGACATTTGAAGCTTGTAGTAGGGTTTATACAACCATACAAATGCTTCTGGACGAGTTTCACGCCGTGGAGGAGATTGTTTCACTTCCTCATCTGCACGACCTCGATACCTTACCTTTTGAGAAGGAGAACAATTCACTAGAAACGGCACAGCAGCAGCAGCCGCGAGGGGCGGATCTTGAATCTCATACAAGCTGGCTGACAGGACAGATAAAAATGGTCAGGGCAGGTTTAAAGGAAGATATATCTCGCACCCTGGGAAATGGCAGCCAAGGAGAATGGAGCAGCGCACTACAGTTTGGTCATTATCTCAAGGCAGTGCTTCGTGAAAGGATGGGCTTATAGAACAAATATTCTACTGGATAAATCGCAGAGCTCCAATTAGTAATTAATAACATCATTGTCTTTTACGAGGAAAATGTTTTTAATTGATGTGCAGATTAGCTTGAACCGATAACATGATTGAGCCGCGCTTTTCCGACCTCCTCGGGGTCAACAATCACAGTCGAAAGTGTGGCACAGCATCAGCCGCTCGGAGCGGATCTCAAATCCCATCCAGGTGGTCCACTCGACAATCATTCCAGTTTTGAAGACCTTGATGTACCGCATAATCAAGCTGGCAGCTGCCGTACCGAGTATACGCCCAGGTCAGAAAGGATCTGCTCGTATGTTCCCGAAGCTCCATGGTTACTCCGGGTCTCTATTGCAAAGTCCCCACTATGCTCCGCGGATCTTTCACGAGACCTCCGGATGACCTCCATGGGGCCTACAATTAATACTCACATCCGACAAATATTTTGACATATAGCGAAAAGATCATGTATAACAATCAGTTCTATTTTCTGAAGGCTTTCTAAGCATTACCATTTCAAAGTGTATATTAATCGATAATTACTCTAGATATGGGCCAAATCGAACCTCATGTCGCCTCCAGCGGCTCTGAACACACGTCAGTCAATTACCGTTTCTTCTAGTAAGTATTCCCACGAGAGGTATGGGTACTGACAAAGCAACAGATTTCGAGCATGGCTGACGGTAATGGGAGCCTTCTTCACGTTCTTCTGCAGTGTTGGATTTCTCAATGCATTTGGTGTTTTCCAGGACTACTACGAATCACATCAACTGAGCAACCACTCTAGCTTCGACATCTCATGGATTGGTTCCTTTTCTACTTTTGCGCTCTTTTCTGGTGCTCCCATCGCTGGTATTCTGGTTGATCGTGTTGGACCGACGGTATGCAACCCTCCTACACCCTCCCACTCCCACCTTCGTCCCGGATCAAACAGACGGCTAAAGCAGTCCGACACTAGGTACTACTCATATTCGGCAGCGTGGCAATGCTTCTGGCCGTCTTCATGACTTCGCTTTGCCAGCAGTATTATCAATTCTTTCTCGCGCAGGCCGTCCTTCTCGGCGCCAGTATGTCTTGCCTCTTCTGTCCGGCGATCGCGACCGTCTCTCGGTATTTTCAGAAGAACAAAGGGCTAGCCATGGGGGTAACGGTGGGAGGATCATCTGCAGGGGGTGTAATATGGCCGATTGTGCTGAATGAGCTCCTCAATAAAGATGGAGTGAGCTTCGGCTGGACGATTCGCGTCGTCGGGTTTATCATGCTTCCACTCCTCGTTCTCACGCTCTTCACCGTCACCCCACCAGCGAAAAAAGCCAGCGATGATCACCGTCATCGTATGTTGACCGAGGAAGAGCAAAGGAATGAAACAGACGATGGACATGGAAGTGAAAAGATCTCGAAAATGGAAGCCAAGGCACACAAACAGGGTCTCATTGCGCTTCTGAAAAACGCCAACTTCCTGCTGCTCTGCTCAGGGCTTGCCATTTCCTATCTGGGCATGTTCAGTCCATTTTTCTATGCAACCTCCTATGCTCGGAGTCTGGGGCATTCCACAAGCTTCGCGTTTTACCTGGTATCTATCGTCAATGGCGCATCTCTCTTTGGCAGAATTCTGCCGGGGATGCTGGCAGATCGCTATGGGCATTTCAATCTCTGCGGTGCAGCAGCGCTGCTATCCGGTGCGATTGCGCTTTGCTGGACCGCAGCAAAGAGCTCCGGGGGGCTTGTTGTATGGTGTCTAGCATATGGACTTACGTCTGGTGTATGCATCCTCTCACCTTGTTCAGCCATGAAGCTTCGAGTGTACTAACCCTAACTCGCAGGCTATCATGAGTCTGCAGTCCGCTTGTGCAGCTCATCTGGCACCTCACGAGCTTCAAGGCACAGCAGTAGGGTTTCTCATGGGATCAGTTGCTTTGACGTGAGTTTCGATACTTACTCCTCTACCCTTCATTTCATCAAATCTATTGCTAAATCATAAATGTTTTAAAACTACAGAGCTTTGTTCGGTACCCCGATTAGTGGCCAGTTGGTCGGGTCTTACGGATATCTTGCCTTGTCACTGTTTGCCGGGGCATCCCTTGTTGTTGGCGGCCTTCTGATCTTTATGGCGCGATTCAAAATGGAGAGCAAAGTATTTGCACGGCAATGATTCGTTTTCGCTTTGCTTCACTTACGTCATGACCCTGAGAAATGACTGCTCGGCCGGTCAAACTCTCTTTGTCGCCACGGGTATTTTGTCTTTATATGGCGTGC